TGTTTTAGCCTATGCAACATTAGCAGCCTTTCCTGGCTGTGATCTAATCCGTCCTCCAGGAAAGTTTGTAAAATACATTGAGGTTTCTGTCATTCTTCTATTGCTGTATAATAAAGTATAATAAAGATAGCTTGGATTATTTGCCCTCTTACAACCACACATTTGTTGCTTCCGATTCTAATTAGCTATCATCTGCAGACTGCATGGTCTGACCTCTGCTCTTTGCTGTCAGACACGGGCCCGGATCTTTTCGGGCAGGCTACATTTTGTAATTAGAAATAATGTTTAACAGAACCAGGACTTGCAGTAATAGAACAGGAGCCAGCTTGGACTGGACTGACTCTATAAAACATCGGTTCAGGTCTCGGGTTTTACGTTTGGGTGGACCCATGAAGACCTATAGTGTTGGATAATCCATTATGACCCTGGTTACTGGTGACACTATAAATATTAGTATTTATACTCATAATTTAAGGTTTTTATAATTAAGAAAGATAGATAATCAGAATGAGAGCTTGTTACTTGTTACTGTAGGTGATTTTCCTCAGAATTTAAAGATTCAGTGGAGCAAGGTGGCTTGAGATTGTGAGTTCACCTAACCTTTTAATTTTTTGCAGTGTATGGCTCTCTAATGAGTTATTGAAATACAGATTTAAAGTACTAAAAATTCCAAACTCTCTTATGAAGGATTAACTAACCTGACTCAATCAGAATGTAACCTAATCGGTGTATAAACTAAGACATCTGTAATGTCTGTATCCAACTTTGTGGTGACTTTACCTTTCAATTTTCCAACATTATGTTTAACTAAACCACTGGTGCACCAAACAGAGGCCTGTTTAAGATTTTCTTTCCATGCATCACCTGTAATCTAACTGAAATTAGAGGTCTTTCTACTGTATTTAGCCTAAAATCTTCCATCCCATACAGAGTAATACTATAATTTACAGCTATTCTTTAACATGCTGTCTACTACTGTTTAGATTGCTTGTCCTGAATTTGCACCCAATCCAAAATCGAGAACATAATTCTGATTTCTATATTCACCTGTTTAATCATATGAAGTAACATTCTTTAGCTAATGCTTTACAAACCATTATTACTGGCAAGCAGTGAGTAAATGTGACATTGTAGTTTAAGAAAAAGAGGCAAAGCTCAAACAAATATCATATTCATAAAATAAATATCTGTAGTAGAACCAGCTGCTCTTAGGACTGAATGATCAAAGGTGGGCGGTCACTGAGACGATACTCCACAAAGTAAAGCCTTCAAAATAAACCAACATCTTTTTAAACAGTTTGAATAAAACCTGGGGTGGATTTGTCACAGGGCTGTTGTATTACACTTTGTCAGTTTTATTGCGGTGTACCAATTACACTGGCCAGTGCATGCAGATTAATTAAATCACTTTGTGTGATTGTGATCCTTTCACCAGACAGAATAATCTATGTTTTTACTGAAGTCATTGACTTGACATGGGTCTGTTTCCCGCCTGAAGTTTTATACAGTTATGGAAATCACTTGCAACTCTGTTAAGTTAGTTTTACCCATATAAAGATGGACAACACAACAGCTCCCCATAAGTGAAGCTAAAGTGTCTTGATTGCCACCTGGTGGCTGCAGTACATGTTTGGTTTTAATTAGTTAATTGATGCAACAAAAAAATTTCGTAGTAGCGTTTGTATTTGGGCTATTTTTACTTTGTTTCTGGATAGTGAAGAAGACGTATCATCCATCTTTATATACAGTCTATGCTCATAATAATTAAGATAATAAACTTAATTTAGGTAGCACTTAAACAAAGTGCTCAAGGAAGAAACAACATTCAACAACTCACTTCTAATTTTTGTGTTAAAAAAAAATATAATATGTACTATTACCAAAAAGCTATGCTCAGAACAGAGATGTCTGTAAAAATCTGTGGAACACTACGGATTGTTGCTCACATATAATGCTTATAAGCATCAAAGACAGTTGGTCAGTCAAACTGTAGTAAACACTGATTGTTCATGTAAGTGACATTGATCGTGTCATTTAATGGTTTATTATTTTGAGTAAATCTGTGCTCTCAGATGCAGAACAACAATTACCAAGTTTATGGTCCAACTCCTACAAAAAAAAATAGTAAGTAGCACCACTGGGGAGCTGTGAAGCAAAGTGAACTTTGTTCCAGCCAAGTTGTCCAAAGTTTAAGTCTCTGTGAAACAATTTTTCTGGGGCAAGTGCTCTGAAGGTAACATTAAAGTAACAACTCAAGGAGTCGGGTTAAAGTTAGGCTTCAGGGTCAAGCACAGGGGTAGGGTTAAGTAAAGTAAAGGCAGCGTAGTTGTAATCCCCTGAGAAAAGTAGATCGCAGCTGAGAGGGACGAGCAGGGTACATTTCAGTCAGCTGCTGGAGACAGTTTTTCAGTAGGGAGTCATTAGCTAGCTAGCAACGGGACAAAGCAGAGCTGTAATGAATTTGGCAGAGTCGTCAGAGCAGCGATGGCGTTGACTGCTGACGCACTGAGAGCCTTGCTGCTCCTGCTGCTCTACCCACATGTGCTTTTCTCTTCTGCACTTATGAGAATAATTTCACCAAGAGACACAACACAGGAGATACAGAGAGTTAGTAAGAGTGTTGGAGGGGATCTTTATGGCACATGAATGAGTAAAATAAAGAAAAAGTCTGTATTTTTAACTGTGGGAAAGGAAATGATATGAAATAACAGCATGATGTCAACACAGTATCTTTTTTAGTGAGCAAACCAAGGCTATAAAAACATTTTTATGTAGCAATCCATATTTAATGTCAGTTATCTCAATGATTTATCTGTTATAGCTGGACCTAGATGTTGTCTGGATTATGATGGCGTCTGGACCATGACCGCTCTTGAAATATCTGGGTATTCTCATTTTGAGCAAACGTTACTCAAACAGAAGCTGATAACACTCACTTGGGGCTTTATGTATAGTAAATCAGAATGATTCACAGTGAAACACATCAAACAGTGCTACACTGATTTATTTTAGAATGATTTTTTATGAATATATAAGGGCAGTTTGCTTATTTTGCTTTGTTACATGGGTTTCTGCCAGACTTATCTTTTAACCCTTTTGATAGATAAATTCACCTGATATAATTAACAATGATAATCCAATGGACACTTGGTAAGGTGAAAGGAAAGCACAACCGCACCCATTTTTTTCAAAGAAGAAACTATGGCCTGCAGATGCGGTAAAGTTTCCATTATTGGTGCCAGTAAACAGAGCCAGCTGAGAAAGTCTGACAGTGACTAAAAAAACATCTTGAAACAAACAGGCAGACATCACTATCAGGGATTTTACACAGAATTGGACACTGATTTAAGACATAAGACATATGCTCCCGCTCTGAACCCAAATTACTAATACTATGACTATGTGTGTGTGTGTGTGTGTGTGTGTGTGTGTGTGTATGTGTTCAACAAAAAGAATTGTCCTGACAACTGTCCACCCTCTGATAAAGAATCACTGTTCTCCTTCTCGTGAGTCATCTGATTCGATTCGGAACTATCACACACAAAAACGCACACAAGTGTTGGCTACAATACCAACACACTGGCCAGCTGGCTACAATAGGTCATGTCCAGTCCACCAGAATCACTGTGATTACTGTGTACCAAATTACATTTGTGTGCACATGCATGAATGTATGTATTCAGATTTCCTCTCATGTTCTGCTTGTATGCACCTATTGTACAAACATAAACACAACCAGTATTATTGATCCAAATTTGTGCTTAAACTGGCATGCTGGGAATTCTGTCAAAATTCACCTTTGGGTGGCACACTTTCTCAGAACCCTGGTATTTACTAATGGTAGCATGTTGTTTTATTTACAATTAAAAACTGATAGGTTGCCAATATCAACTGGTTCATTCACTGACAGATTGTTTTTCTTGACTTCCTGGTCTCTGCACAACCCAATAATAATTTCTACTTAACACGATTCCCACAAGGAAAATGCTCAGACATTGCTTTGAGCAGCAGTGACACTTGAGATGAACAAAAATCCAATTACAGAAGGATCAACTTTCAGTAGTTGCCAAGCTAAACTTTGTGCAAATACTTTTTCATTCTGTAGACCTTACGTTTGTATCAATAAAACTAGTGAGACCATTGATTTAGATTATTTGTTTCAGCATTGGTTGTACATAAGGAGCTAGCAGTCTTGGTTTGCGTTGTACACACCACAGTTAAGGTTGCGGATGTATCTGTTCCACCAACACTGGCAAAAAGCAGATAAGATTATATGTTTTGTTTCAAGTGTTAGCTGGCCTCCGTAGAGGATGCCCATTAATGCTGAGCTAACAATGGCTTCTTTAAGTTTGATTAGTTAAAGAAGACATCCACCCATCTATCAAGAAAAAAAAAGCTAAATTAAATAAGAAAAACTCCAACAACAGCAAATTAAAACAATCGTTTTTTTTATTTGGCACAACACAAAAGTGCTTTAGGATACTAACACTGCCCATGTCAAGTGTGGCTTGAAAACGACCTCATGGTTCAACTGTTGATCTCATTCATTAAAACCTTGAAACAGAATCTCTCAGTATAAAACGGTATGAAAATGTTGCCAGTTTTTCATTTGCTTTTGCTTAGTAAGGCACTTCACAACTTTAAAACTTACATAGTTTGCAGGTTTTGTGCAAATATTTTTGGATGAACGTTTTCAGTCTGCTTTGGCTTTATTGTTTATTGTTTCAAAAACTTAACACCAGAAGCAAATATAGTTTCTACACTGCATAATGCTAGCAGTTTAAAAAAAGGTTTTCATGCTGTATATATTAAAAATCATTTTCTGTTTTTTGCAGTGTAAACATATGGAGGATTTGGGTTTTTACGTGAATACCAGAGG